AGCCAAGGCTTGTAGTATCCCCATGAGAGAGGAAGTCAACTCTGGGGAAGTAGGCTACAGCAGTGCAAACCTCTCTCCAGGCTACTGTGTTAGACCATGAGGATGACATCACAGTGCCGGTTTAGACTTTGTTCACAGTGTGAACAGTTATGTTATCTGATTTTTTTTTTGCAGTGGGTTGGTTGGTTTTGTTTTTTGAGTTGGTGAAAACTTAGCTGATGGCACACACAAGGGCAGACAGTATGGTCTTGCTGACCTGGCCTAGTACCAGCTCAGCGAATGTGTCCAGGACACTGGTCGGCAGCCAGCTCCTGCAAAGTCAACAGTTTTGCTTTACGTGTCTTGTGCAAAAGGACCGTTCTCTTTGAACAAAAACAAAGGATACTCATTATGCCTCTTGGAGGCGCTCCCTCATGCCCTCTGTGAGCATGGGGGCAGATCTGAGGTGTAAGGTAATCGTTCTGAGTTGCTCTACGTTATACACCCCGGAGCCAGAGAAAGGTGTAACCTACTTTGACTTGCATCTTCTAATCGAAAGTCAGTAACCCCAACTGAGATCTCTTTAGACATCCATGGGTTTGGGCCTAACTGCATGGAAGGGAATTTAAAGGAGTGAAAGGGACTGTAGTTTTACAGTGTAACTGCTTTTTTTTTTTTTTTTTTTTTTAAGCTCAGCATTTCAAAATTAACCCTCTAAGGGATCTTCCACCCAGCAGCATGTGCCTTACAGCACATTCATTTAGCACTAATAGCAGTACTAATAACTAACACCTAACTCTTTTAATAGCACTTTTAAAATTATGTGCAGTTGGTTTGTTCTGTGGTTCACAGTAAGGGAAGATTTCTGGGGTTGCCCATAGCTTTAGATTGCTGGCTTGGATAAAAGGTTAGCATCATTTTTTGCCCTTCTGGTGACCAGTAAATAACAATAAAGCAACAACAGCTCATGAATGAATAATAAATAGTCGCATCTAGTTTCTTTAAATTAACAGGTTAAATCTGGATGTAAGTACACTTCAACAAACAATTAGCTAACCAGTCAGGGCTGATTTAGCTATCTGCTTGGCAGCGCACCTGGACAGTCAGTGGTAAGTATGGTTAACTGTTGTTAACAATATGGCAATTAACAATACAGTGAACATTGTTGGCTTGAATGCTAAAAGCAGTTGTGAAAAGTCCACTGAGCTTCCTTGTTGAAACAGGTAACTGAAAGGAGAACTGTCTCCAAACACAGGCACATGTCTCAAAACAGAGCTGTGTGAATCTGCTCAGGAATTCGAATGGTCTGTGGAGGGGTTATCTATCCCTGGCCCTGGCTCTGGATGGAAGTGGGTGAGAGGCATGCATGTAGAAGAGGAACAGCCTGATCTAAGGAGTAGTGCATTATTACACAGAAAGAGACAGTTAAAAAGTGCAGCACAGTCACTGAAGTGTGGGTGCAGTGATGCTAAGAAAAAGCTTGAGGGGAAGGAAGCGGGGGAATTGCACTGTTTGAAAGAAGTGTGGACTGGTGAGCAAGGAACCTGTGCATTTACAAAAGCAGGGCCATGTGCCTTTGTAAGCAAACAGAACTTCCCCCTAAGTCCCTGCCTCTGCCATCCAGTTTCTCGTGCTAACTGGAACAACTTTCAAGAGCCCAAATTACTGACCAGCTAAATGAGTCAAAAGGGATGGCAGTATTCCTCTATGCCTTCCATCCTCTGTCCATGTGTATTAACATGTGAGTCAGTCACTGAAAAGGATGGTTCACAGCCCAGAGTAGATCTTTATGGGGACCTATTGTTTTCTTTTCAGAAAAGGTTTTCGGTTACATTTCCCCTTAAACATCATCTTAGTGTTTGTTTGAGCCTTATGCTGCACTAAACTGTTTCTGGTGGAGGGGGAGGGGATCTATCTGACTTGTATTGTTCCAAAGCAGAAGCAAAAAATATCTAAAATTACAGACTAAATTCCAACTTCACCTCAGTCATTGAAGGAGCACTATTTGAATCGGAGGTTTTCAAAGTCTCGCGTACTGTGATAAAGAAAATGTCTTCTGGCCATCTCTCTCACTCACAGCACAGCTACAACAGCTGTTTACATGGACATACATTAGGGAAGTGTTAATGTATTTCAGCTGCCTTCAACAGTATGGCTGGTGGGCACAAAGTAGTGCCCGCGTGATGGATCAGGACATGATCTACAGTAGGGGAATTCCAATTTTAATGGATGCGGCCCTGACTAAAAGTCAGATCTAGATTTTATTCCTGCCTCTATGATGTGTGTGCCTGTGTGTGTCATGTGCTTACTCTGTGCCTTGTGCAATGGGGATGAAGAGAAGGAGGAGGATGGTTCCTTGTTATCTGCATTGCAGGCACATTCTCAAACTGGGCAATATTGCCAGCCTCCAGCATGTGACAACTCTGCATCCAGTGGGATTTAAAGAATGATAACATTTGAGTTATTTTACTTACCATCTGGCTTTCATACCTTTTTGGCAGGGAGGCAGACAAGCACTTGGAAGAGAAACACCGGGAAAAGACTAGAGAGCGAGCTTTTGAGGGGTGCTGGCTTCCAGGGGGCTTGGGTTTGAGCAGGATGCTTCTCCTGCTGGAATAACCTGGAAAAATGTCTAGGTAGCTGCTTGGGGCCAAGAGAAAATCAGAAATCAGTTGAAGCTCTGAATACATGCTTGAGCCTGGATCTGGATTCCCAATGGTTCAGAAAAGGAAAATCCCATAAGTTTCAAACAGGACTGAGGAAACCATCTTGATGTAGCATGTGCCCTATTCAGAACTGGTGCGTTAATGAAGTGGCTTTCCCAAGGTCAGGCAGAATAATTTTGAGCCTGGTGACTTTAAGTGCTGCTTATCACCCATACTCTCACCTTCATTAGAGTGAGAACTGTCACACTAGCAAATGGTGGTGTCAGGAATTGGCTCCCTCATCTGCAGGCTACAGGGCCTGATCTACAGCCCACTGAAATCCATGAACAGGCACCCCTTGATTTCTGTGAGCTTGACTTGAGTAACAGATTTGATGTTTCCGTGTTGTAAAGTCAGCACCCAATGTGTGTAAAAAAAAAAAAAAAAAAAAAAAAAAAAAAAAGTGCATTTTGACTTGGGTTGTTTTGTCCACACTGACAATGTCACTTGTGCACAGTAGTAAGATTTCTGGGATCGTATCCCATGGTTCATATTGTATTGAAAAAAAAGCTGATTTGTTCTAGGAATTCTTTCTGGTGAACTGTAGGAAAACTTGTCTGTCTTTTCTGAGCATCTCTGGGGAAATTGTGGGAAGGCACTGGAGGACTAGCAGCACTTGAGTGGCACTAGCCTGCATATGCATTGGCAAATATAAGCTTGCATTCACGTTAGCACAACTAACCAGCTGTCAACTCCTGCATTAGTATATACCCCTTGATGGGTCACCTAATTCGAGTAAACAGTGGCGCACACAAAGAGAAACCTTTACTTTAACTTTGCAACAAAGACAAGGCCAAAGAGAATACTATGAAATAAATGTGAACAGCTAGCATGTTTTAAATATGTCCTGTCCCTGTTAATGGAATGGATTAAATCGTAGTGGCATACCAGCAGGCTAGTGAGAGTGTGTTAGCCTGTATTAACTGTTTGTTTCCTATTTTCAGGGCAGACTTCTGTTCAGTGCAAAAGGCTGGGAGCTGGGAGGAATTCTGAGAGGAACAGCAGAAGTTTTTAAGGAACTGGGCTTTGTGGGGAAAGGACAAGAATGCCAGAGGGGTATATTTTTCATCCTGGCTGTAGTCCCCTTGATGTTGTTGGCACCGCAGCAGGGATGAGTAGTATATGCAGCTTGCTAAATGCAGGCATCACAGCTATTTATTGAGGTATACAAAAGCAGCAGCAGAAGAGAAGCTGGTTAGAGATGACCAAGGCATAGCCCCAGGGGAATGGCACTGAGCTAACAAATACTATATGTCCCTACTAGTGGTGTCAACCAAACTGAGGAATAACCTCCTTCTATTTGAACCATTTAAATTGAGACTGGACCAAACCAGTGTAAAACCCCTGCGCTGGCAGGAATGGGTAGGTGAGGGTTGGTTATTTGTCAGGATGGCTGTCTTCCAAACTGGATTCTTCTGCTGCTGGGAAGCGATATGGTTATTTTTCTTTCATCATGACCGGCACATTTGGAAATGTCACCGATGGGAGTGCCCCATGTTTAGGTTTTTTGTGTACACCAAAAGCTCGACTGCCTGGGAGAGAGTGCAGAAGGGAAAGGACAGCAGGGTTTGCTCCTTAAAGGTTACTTCTGCATTTTTACAGTGTGCTTTGTGATATGTATTTCAGAGAATTGGGAAGTACTAGGATGTGGTAGAAGAGGAACAAATGCAACAAGACCACTCCATGGTATCCAGCAGTCTGAAAAGTCAGGAATATAGCTTCCTGCTTCCCTTCTATATTTAAGTGCATAGCGAGTCAACCATGACATCACCTTGAATTCAATTTTTCCTCAGAGGTGTGGGAATGGGGGGTTGTGCTTTTTTATGACATGCATCCTCTGCCCTTTCCCTTCCTTTCCTCCCTCCCTTCAAATATGTCATGGGGAAAGTGAGGTCCTTTCTGGATGCCACAGAAACAGCGGGCAAAATCCAAACACTATCGCTGCCATCTTTATTAGGTACAAGCAGATACTACCCATGGGAGCTCTCTCTCTTTATGGCCAAAATGGTGTTTTATATTGAGCCTGGGAGCGGATGTGCGTGGCCTGATGTTCTGTACCTAGAGTGGGAGAGGTTGGAGTGACAGTGTTAGAGGGGAAAGGCAAATGAGGTTGATCCTATCCCAGGCTGCACGCAACAACAGGCGATTGGGGTTGTGCTCCCACATGTAAACCCACAGATGTAAAGAAGCCTTCCCATCTAGTCACTTTAGGTAGTGTTGCTCACCACCCTTAATTCCACAGGGACTCCTGCCAATGGCTTGCCCTGTGCCTCCCACACAGGGCAACTGCTTCTGCTTCCAGCAGGCAGTGGAACACAATAGTCACTCCTCCCCCTGGTGCTAGTGTCCCCTCACTCATCCTGGAGTGCGCAACCTTCACCCAGCATTGGCTGTGGATGTGCCAAGAGCCTGCATGGTTGACAACCATCAGCCAGGAGTGTAAGCTCGGAGTGAAGGCACTTGTGATGCAGCACAAGTTAGACAATGTGGGAGGTGTGTTGCATTCCTGTATCTCTTGGGGCACCTGTCTTACCTCTCACAACCCTCCAGTCATTCCAGAAAGTGTGCAACATGTTCCTCTGCATGTTGTCTGTTTGGTGCTACAGTGATGGAAACAAGGATCCACAGTCACAGACCAGGACATTATCGTGTTTTTATTTGACCCTGCGTAGGAGCAAATTAAAATTCTGCTTAGACAATTGTAAAACTTATTTGTGATGCTTTGGGCCTCTGTGATTCATGTACCTAAAAGCATCCAAGAGGCAAAGGGAAATGGTAATGACTTTGGTAATGTCTGTTTGAGGGGAAGCTGCTTTCCAAAGCCCTGCCCTGCTCACTTCACCATAATCCACCAATCATCTGCTTGAAATGACACTGTTATCCCAAAGGTGAAAGGCTCCGTATCCCTGAAGTCTCCAAGGGCAGGATGAATCCCTTTTTTAATTTTCTACCAACTATCGCTGAAGTGTTACCATGTCAGTATTCTGACTACACACAGGTTAATCCTCTCTAGGCCTTAAGAAGTTGTGCTAAATAAATGCCTGTCTGGCTGCTACAAGTATATCCTCCCAGAGCATAGAATTCATTGACAATCCATGTAAGATTTTGCAGCAGAGGATGACAAGCAGAGGCTTTGGGGCAATAAGAGTTTTCTCCATGTGGGACAGATGGATTGGAAAGAAGGGAAGTGCATAGTATAACCGAGGTAGCATCTGCCCCTTTTCCAGCCTTCTCGTACCTCCAGTTTCTTGTCTGCTACAACTTTGCTGTTGGAGAGTGGGAATTCCTCAGACCAGTAGCAGCCTCATGAGTAGCCTGGTCCATCTGATCAGGTCGGCCACCCTGCCTGGGTCCTCTGTCCAGCCCTTCACCCAGTGCTCTCATGGGTTTCTGCGGGCTCATTTGGGCTTCAGCTATCCTAGCCCAAGTCCCCTTTTTTTTCTCAGGCCACACCCCTGCCTTGCTCCACTGAATAAGACCTCAGCCTCTGAGGTTTTGCCTTAATGGCAGCCTCCCTTTTTAGGGGTGGGGTTTTGTCTCCATGTGTCAGTCTCTGCTTCTCAACTTGGGGCTATCTCCTGACCCCTATAGCCAGAAGCACACTCAGCACCCCTGTTCGTGGGCTCCTCCACCCCTGTATCACAGCCTGATCCTCCGGTAACAAGTCCGGACCAAACAAAACACAAACCAACTGCTTCCAAAAAAAACGAGTAGTCTCTTTCCTCCTGTGAATGTTGCCTGCAGGCCTTACCTGCTCAGGAGCCTTCTCCCCAACTTCCTTGAGTGGCTCAGGTATATGTCCATCTTCAGAGCTCCTCTCTCCCACCGCCTGACCCTAGGCTGGTCTTAAAGCCCTTAACCCAATCCCCTTACAATCACCTAACTGATTTGCTGCACCCAACAGCCTGGTGCATCCAGTTGCTCATTAGCTGCCAGGCCTTGGTTAGATATACCTCTGCTGTCCTTTTAACTGCCTGCCCTCTCCGCAGCCATCCTTGTAACAGGGGCAGGGGTTCCCTGTTTTAGATGTCAAACATAAGCTGATGAGGTACACGGCTTGTACTGTCTAAGTATGGCCCCAAAAGCAAACAAATACTTTGCCTCTCTTTTCATTATAGTTGTTGTTGATGATGAACATGGGAGCAAAGGCAGGTTACCTAATGGGAAAGAGAACATGGAAATACACCTTAACACATTGAAATAGAAATCAAAGTTAAGGAGTTTAAAGTGCTAATATTAGAAGACGAGGATAATGTCTATCGCAGTATTTGAAAGACCTGGGACATGAAACCACAGGTTTAATAGCAAGGATTATTAATAAATCTGTCCAGTTGGGTGTGGTACCATAGGATTGAAAAGCAGCAAGTGTAGTCCTTTATATTTAAAATGAAGAAAGTTGTGATCTGGACAACTTTAGGCCTGTTAGTCTGATCTCAATGACCATGTCTACATGAGAAACTGAATGTGCAATTGTTACTACGCAATCATTTAGTACTTGCATACATAAACACTAAATTACTGTGCAGTCGCATGTCTACATGGCTTTGTGCTGACTCTGAGTGCACAGTAGCTTGTTACAGCTGCGCAGTAGTGTCACATCATGGTTCATGCCCTGCGATGCTACTGCACAGTATTAACAAGCTATTGTGCAGTAAGCATCTTGTGTAGACACGACCAATGATATGCAAAGCCCTGGCACAAATTTTGAAAGATAGAATATTTAAACATCTGGCAGTAAAAGAAACAGAAAAAACCATTGGCTTTTTTGTCCCAAGCTAACTGATTTTTCTAGACAAAGGAAATGCAGTAGATAGCATCTATTCTATATGGACTTCTCTGAAGTGTTTAGTATGGTGCCACATGGGAAACTATTTAGTTTAGCTGGAAAAGTTAAGGATTAGTACAAGAATCGTGAGGAAGTTAAGGAACTAAAGAAGAAAATTAGAACCTGTGTAAAATGGAACATAGAAGCAGAAGAAGCCTCCAGGGGTATTAAGCCCAAAAAAGGGAAGTGGCAGGCTGGTGGGAAAACATTTTCAGGGTCAGTCTTGACACAGATATTAGTATTTTCATTACTGACCTTCCCCAGACAAAGCATGCTGATGCAGTTTGCCGATGGCCCAAATTTGGGAGTCACTATCCACACAGAGAAGTACTGGAATATCACACAAGAAGAATCAGGCGCCCTTGAGGACAGGAGTAATAGAAATATAATGAAATGCAGTTTAAAAAAATACAATTTCAATCACTTAAGGACTAAAAACAAGGATTTCTGCTGTGTGCTTAGATTCTATCAGTGGGATATTTCAGAAGAGGATGACCTGAAGTTACTGGGATGACCCTCAGCCTCTAATGTGCTGGTGTTGTGAAAAAGGCAAATGTGAACACAGGTGTTGCATTGGACAAAGTACTTCCAATAGGAAAACAGGAGTATTAATGTCAGTGTAGTCCACAGGGGCTGAAAAGATGTTTTGTGAGTGTGATCCTGAACACTGCCTTCCAGAAAGATGAATTCATACTGGAACAGGTACAAAGGAGGCTCACAGGGTGATCGGGGAAGGGAGGACCTGTCTTATGAGAAGAGACTGAAAGAGCTGGGTTGTTTAGGGGGCATTGTTGTTCTTCATAAACACATCAGAGGATAAACTCCACAGAGGAATGAGAGCTGTTTAAGCTAAAGGATAGTTTTGACACCAAAACAAATCATCCCGTCAGTTGGGATCTGGACTTTAGATATGAAATGTATTTTATATATATGGCAAGGGATATGGTGTCCACCAAACAGTTTTCAGAGCATTCTTTGTAATTTGGTAAGATTTTTTTGTCTCTTGTCCCATAGCCCTATGAGTCTACATGGACACGCTTGAAAATCAGGCCTGTGCTCAACATTTGTCTGCTTCAGATGTTGTATGTGAAATAAAAGATGTATTAGGGTATGAGCTGAATACAAAATCTCAGGTTCCTCAGTGAAACAGTGCAATGCTTCCCAAAATGCAGGTAGGAAACAATCCATGTAATGCTAAACAGCTTCACATGTTGTATGTACTCAGGTTACAGTTGCCTGTAAAAGGTTTTCATCAGCAACCCACGGGCACCCGAGAAATGGGGAAGTCCCAGGGCATGAGATTACAGAAAACCACTTTCATATAGGTTCTAACAAACAAAACAATAAACAATAAACCAGACCCAGGCACTACATCAGAGTTGCGTTTCAGTGCTTCCAGGTTTGAGTCTTTTTTCAGTTTTGAACTCCCCCTCCCACCTTCAAAATATCAAGCCAGGAGACTTTCTGGAATTGAATTAGAAAACCCCTTTTTGTCTTCCAGTATGGAAGGGATATGTCTTCCAGTTAAAGGGAATTGCTCCTGTGGCTACATGAGCAAATGCAAATGTATATTGCTTAAAAAAAATAAAATAAAAATAATGTTGAGGTTGAAAAGTTGAGCACTCCAAGGTTAGGGAACTGCCAGAGTTAAGGTTGCCCTGGCTTGCATGAATGTTGCAGGCTTAGAGCAGCTGGAGTCTTTAGAAAATCTAGCATGTGAATATGTGCAGGCTGAAACTTCCCGAAGATTTATAACAAATCTGGGGCAAATTTTTGAAAGTGAAAGTAATGACACATTAACACAATAACAACCCCTTTTTGAGTCTTACTTTTTTTTTCTTTTTTTTTTTAATTGCATGGTCTCACCTGGAGTACTGTGTCCACTTTTGGGTACCACCCTTAAACGACAATGCAGACAAACAGGAAGTAGCCCTGGTGAACAACATAATCATTAGGGGTATAGGAAACATGTTTTATATGAAATGGCATGAAGAACTGGGGTTTTTAGTCCAGATAAGACCACACTATTGAGAGATATGACAATGATCTTCACATACCTGAAAGGTGTTTATAAAAAGGATGGGGATGGAAGGATAGTGTCCCTTGTAGTTGCCAGAGACAGGATAAGAAGTAAATATCTTAAATAGAAAAAAGGGAGATTTAGGTTAGCTATTGGAATTTAAGCACTGCAACAGATTACCCAGAGCACCTGTGGAATCTACATCCTTGGAGGTTTTTAAGAGCAGGTTAGGCAAATAGTTAGATGAGATTGATTTTGACCAGAATGAGCAGGGGTTTGAACTAACTGACCTCTTGAGAGCCTTTCCAGCCTTATTTGTCTGTGATTCCATGATATAATAGAACCTTGTAAATATTTTAACATGGGCAAACAGCATCTTCTTCCTTAATCTTGTTTTTGGAAAGAGATACAAAAAATTGTTGAAACTCAAAAATCAATTCAACCTGAGGCACAGAGGCACCTGATACAGAGCACTTCAGCCTGAGCAGTTTGATAAAGAATTGAAAACTGGATCATGTAACGGGAAGTGTTGGACAATGTTAACTAGGGGCAGCTGTACCAAATTTGTCAATAATAAAGTCTAACTCTATCTAACAGGTTCAGTGTTGCACTGTATATGCATATCTGCAAATAGAATAGTACCCGTACTTATTAACACTGGACTTGTTCATGTGGGGAGTGAATATATACTAAACAAGGATATGAATTTTCAGTGTACTGACTACTTCACGCTGACTCCCTGTGTGATACTTTCTGGAACAAGCTAACTTGCTCCTTTTTCAGAGTGGAGTGGGCTACCTTGCCTAAAGACACTCTGGGTGGGCAGGAAGCACGTCAACATGGGGAGCTGGCATAGAGTGGCTGATACATTGTAAAATCATGCCCTGACTTGTACACTAACTTTCCTGGTGTAGCTATAGATAAGCCCCTTAAATTTTAATTATGTTCTATTGTCAACAAGGTCTGTATTATATAGACAAATATTAATTAACAGAAACCACCAGGGCAAGACCCTGTAAGGAGAAAATCACTTGTGGCTTGACAAGGGAAATTTCCAAGGTTATAGCTATACTGTACTTGGGAGGCATGATTTCCCTTATGTGAACTAGCTTCAGGGGAGCTACTTTACGGGTACCAGCAGCAATGAGAATGACCTAGCCTCCTGATTTAAGTACCAGTGCTCCCAGTGGGTTTCTACAGCGAGTAATGGAGCTTGTGCTGCTACTATTGTACCACTGTTATTGGTACCCAAGCTAGCTAAATTAAAACTAAATGGGCTGTTTATGCTGCATTCGCACCTCTGATTGCACTGTGGACATAGCCTTAGTGCCTGAATTACTTTTGAAAATCAGACTTGGGCTTGTAGGTCACTTACTACTTCTGAAATATTACCCCAAATCAACCAGGTGGCACAAGTATGAAACTATGGTGCAGTTTGAGGGTAGGTGGGGTGCTCTTATGGGAAAAAAATTAGTTCTGCTCATGGATTGCCTGCAAACTAACAAATGTGTTTAAACAGAACAAACAAAAAACCTGACTTTTGTTCCTACTTGAAAACTTGGGACAGACTCATCTTTTTGACCTACGTCATACTGCCTAGCACAGGAGAATCCTGGACCTTATAGTGCTATGCAGAGCAAACATTAATAACACCAGAACAAAAGAGAGAAATGGATCCAGTACATGGTCCACTGTGACTACATTGCTCTTCTCTAGGAGTTTAAATTCCAGGTGATTAAGAATATATAATTTTTTACAAGATTGTTAAGGCTGCATGCTGGGCAGTAAATTCAGAGATATTCTCAGATAAATCAGCACATTTGTCCATATGAGTGAACAGGGTGCATTCTACAGAGCATTGCCTTTCTTTTAAGGTCCTGAACTTGCTATGTTTGGGAATTTACCTTGGAGCTCGGGCCAGTGTTAAAATGTTCCAGTGCTAGCAGCAAACTTTGGCTTAGTGGCACTAAGGTGAGTAAATAAAAGGCAACAGGTCAGACTCAATTCCCAGACATCAGTGAGGAAATGTGTTTCCAAAATAAAGTTTGGTGTACAAGCCCAGCAGGACCAGAGGCAGAGCCTTTAGACCAAAGGCTTAATAAAAATGTGAAGACCTTATTGAAAGAATGTACATTGTGATTTTTTTTTTTGTGCATCCCTCTTTTCAATTAAAGAAATGTTCAAAGTACAGTTATTTTTTAATCAGCTCTAAAAGAATCGCCATCAACATTTCTTCTTGTAGCCATCTGGGCCTGCAACTTGACTAATCTTTTTCCTCTTTTTGCCCCACCACAATCCTCACTTCAATTCCCTTCTTTTCCTTCACAGACTGAGTGTTGCACTTCTTTCTGCCTCTGAGTCAGTGTTATATCTTGCTTTTGATTTGTTTGTTGCTCTTGGTTTACACCATACAGACACTGAATGTAATGCAAGTTGCATGATTTGTGTACAAAATACACTGGAATGTACAGTACCATCAAGGTTTGAATGGGCAAGGTTAAATTCTGAGGTTAAGTTCAAGGTTAAATTCAAGGTTAAACTCATAATGCTTCCCCACAGAACCTCTCCTTTTATATCAATAGAAGTCAAACATGTCCTTGGTGTAAAAATTGACTCTTTGTCTTAACAAGTTAAGGTCCCCTTGGTAATTAAAACCCCAAACATCATAATAGATGATCTGTACAAATTTCCAAGAAAACACTTTGTGACATTCTGCAGATACCACAAATCATGGGGTCAGAAGTAAGGCTTTCAGCAGAACTGCAGAGGGGTAAGTGGAATGGGTTTAAAGAAGGATTGCACTTCCCTTCAAGTGCATGCTGTCCATCTCTTAAATAGAACTCCAAACCTTTCCAGGTTAGCCAGCTGTCAATCAGAACTCTAAAATAAAATTAATCCCAGGAGCTGGTTGGGAGTTGAGTAGTCAGAAAGAAGGGGAGAAAATAAAATCACTTTCTTTTTTCTTGCAAGTTCTCCAAGACACGTTGGGTTAAATCAAGGGTAAGCCATATATTTGCTGCACCAGGGCATGTGGGAGTGATTATCACAAGTGAAACTGCATTGTTTCACTTAGACTCCTTTAATTTCTGTAAATTGAACTCACTAGAGCTCAGATCTACTCTGCGGTACAGTTTTTGAACTCCAGGAATCTCACCACTTTGAAGGTGGGAAGGGGAATTAGGGTTAAAAACGAAAAACGTTAGATCCTCATTTCTGTTACAATGCAGAGCTTTGGGATTTTTATCTTTTAAACCTCAATAAAAAGCATTTTTTCTGTAATCTCAAGCCCTAGGACTTGCTGCTTTCCACAGCTATCTATTCCTTTGCCCTTGAAAGCCCTTGTGTGAAATCTGTGAGGCTGTCTTTCTTCTTGGGTAATGTGGGCCATCTTTACTTGGGCTTCCTGCCAACACATCTCAAGCCAGGAGGCATTGTTTACTTAACCAGGGGAGAGATGCACCTGTCCTTTTTGTATTCAGTTTATATACCAATACATCATCTCCCATTCCATATATAGCACTGGAGCTGTCAAGGGCTGAAAACAGCTATGTTGAAAGCATTATTCTATTTCTTATGGCAGTGGTCTTTAACCCATGTTTCACAGAAAATTAATTGCCAGTGGGACCATTCCTTTCCTTGGAAAGGAAATTAAAGGAAATTAATTAAACAAAAGGAAATTAAAAAGTTAAATGAAGTGGATGAGCAGAGCAAAATGTGATGTTTCCTGCTGCATATTACTGGCTAAGTATTGTTGCCTATGGCCCTAGGGGGACCAATGTCTGATGGTATTAATTCTGCTCCTGGACTGACTGATAGCTATATTAACAAAGAATTTTTGAGGTGGTTGAACAGTCACTTCTGGTGTGAGAATACAAATTTGAACAAGTATTCAAAACACTTGTTCTTTATTAAGTGTTTGTGGGGGAAAATATTTGCTTGCATAAACAAACAATAGAAAGGATTGCTGCTAAATACAGCTCCAGATTTTCATTAACCTGTTATGCAGCAAGTACCCTGCTCTGCTCCCCAGGATGGTTATCAGCCTTGACATGCAGGGTGTCTCCAATGTGTACGCAACATGCATGTCATTCCCGTAATGAGAGCCTGGCTGTCAGTTTTGGACATTTGGAACACTTGCAGTAGGGTACACTATCAGTTCGCTTCTTGCTCTTTATGGAAACAAGAATAGACATTGATCAATATGAAAATCATTGTGTGAAAAGTAGTACGGTTGAGTTCCACTGCGAAATGTGTTTCTTCAGCACTGAGCTTGGGTGTTGAAAACATTGCAGATATATGCAGGCCATGTTCTTTGGGTAGATGTGATATCATTTATTAGACAAACTGAGTAATTGAAAAAATGTTCACCCTTCTTCAAGCATAGGGAGTATCTGCTAATGAAAGAAGCTAAAATGTGAAAGCATGTCAGTGAGAATGTAAATAGGTGGAAATTAGGAAATCAAAAGGTAGAGAAGGGAAGGGAGGGGGGAAGTAAGGGAGAATAAAAGCCAAAAGTAAGTAAGGTAGACTCTACTGTAGTAGTTTTCCAAGGTAGAAAAGAGGCTGTCTGTGAAAAGGTAAATAGCTAGACATTAGGAAGACAAAGGGTAGAAAAGGAGGGGAGAGGAGGAGGGGGGTGGGGGAAGAGAAGTGTTAGAGGTCAGGTCCGGCAGGTACCTGGTGAATCAGATGTCAGGCAGGTTGTAATGTGCCATAAATCCAATGTCTATATTAAGTCTATGAGTTTTTGTATCTAGTAGATTTATGAAGTGAAGTTTGTAGGTTCGTCTACAAAAGGTGTTTTGTAAGTTCCCTTTGAGGATTAGAACTGAGAGATCAAAGAGGGAGTGACTGTCTTGTGAGAAGTATGCCCCCACCGGTAATTGGATATTTTTGGCTTTGATAGATTTTCAGTGTGCATTCATTCTGGTGCACAGTTGTTGTTTGGTTTTGTCTACATATTTTCCATCAGGGCATTTGGTGCACTGGATGAGATATATAACATTTCTGGAGGTGCAGGTGCAAGATCCAGGAGTGGTGATGGTTTTCTTGTGGGGTGTGGTATTGTGGGAGTAGTGGAGATGTGTTGACAGGTTTTGCATTTCTTGTCCTTGCATAGTCTAGATCCATTAGTTGTTGTTTGGGTCATAAGGAGTTTGCTTCTGGTGATGAGGTTAACGAGGTTCGGTGTTTGTTTAAAGGCTAAGGGGTGATTTTGGAAAGATCTCTTTAAGATCTTCTTTTACATTGGGTTGCCATTGTTTGAGGATTTTCCATGTAGTTTCCAGGGAAGGGTGATATGTCATAACTAATACTGTGTGATTTATGGGGATTTTCTTTCTATACTGCAGCAAATCTTTGCATGGTATCCGGGTGGCTCTTTCAAACGTACAATATCTCTCTCTGGAGGAGTGTCAAAACTATTAAAAGTCTATCCCTGAAGAAGGGTGATTGCACCCAATAGCTTGCAAAGAACTTTTTTCCAACTACTCAGTTGGTCTAATAAAAGATATCACATCTACCCAAAGAACCTGGCCTACCTATGTCCTTAGACCAACATGGCTACAACCCCAAAACCCTTGCAGATATATGCAATAATGTGTTTGGCTGGAATTCTTATTCTGATATATTTGAGCAACCTTGGTTTTGGATGCAAATGTTCTAGTACTTGCTATGAGTCATAGGGAAGTAGGGCTGGAAGGGACCTCCAGAGGTCATCTAGTTCAGCCCCCTGCCCAAGGCACCTAGTTCAACCATCCCATTAACCATAATCTAAACTCAACCTAAAACTACCCTCAACCCTGATGCAACATAATCCTAACACCCTAATCTGCCACAGGTAAAGCAGGGGAACCACAGCAGCCAATGTCCTCCTTCTATAAAATATTGTCAATATACGCTCAAGAGGTTACAGTAAAGGGCCACACCTTCCACTACAGAGGAAGGCAAAACCCCCACAGTCCATACCAATCTGACCATGGGGTAAAATTCCTTCCTGACCCCAAATATGGCAATCACTCTTCTTTATGAAAACCCTTCACATATTTGAAGACTGATATCATGTCTCTCTTAAGCACCTTTCTTGCAAGCATAATATGCCTAGCTCCTTCAGCTTCTCCTCATATGATTTGCTTTCCAAGCCCTTGATCGTCTTTGTTGCCAGCCTCTGGACCCTCTCTAACTTCCTCACATCCTATTTAAAATGTGGAGCCCCAAACTACACAGAGTACTCCAGATGAGGCCTAACCATTGCCATGTAGAAAAGCACTATCACTTCCCATGTCTTGTTCCTAGCGCTTCTATTGATGCAGCCTAAAACTGCTTTTGCCTCTTGTGCGGCTGCACCACATTGCAGTCTCATATTGAGTCTGTGGTCTACCAAGACTCGCAAATTCTTTTCCATAGAGCTGCTACCCAGCCAGGTGTTCCCCATTTTGTATTTGTGTTTTTGATTATTCCTCCCGAGGTGTAGTGCCTTGCATTTATCCTCATTGAACTTCATCCTGTTACATCTAGCCCAACTTTCCAATCTTTCAAGATCCTTGCCAAGGGCTCCAAGATCTCCTCTGCCAGTTTCTTCAGGACCCTGGGATGAAGCTCATCTGGCCCTGCTGCCTTGAATTGATTCAGACCCAACAAAAGCTCTCTGACCACCTATTTTGGTATACCTCTCAGCTTTCCTCCTTCCTTATCTAGATAAATGCTATTAGGTGTCTGGGAGCTTAATCTTTTTGTGAAGATTGAGGCAAAGTAGCCTGTTGCGTAGCTCTGCCTTCTTTGTATCTTCAGGTAGGCCAGTGGTTCCCAAATCTGGGGTCACAACAATAAAAGA